GCGCTCGCCTCCTACGTATTCCAATCGCTAAGGGTCAGGGTCATAATTTGTGCCCAGTTTGACAGTTCACACTTGAAACATGTGTCGTTTATTTTATGCTAGTTKYCGAGTGCATAGCGCGTACGTTCMSCTACTTATCATATTTYTATGTTCATGCATGTGCATGAACATTCTGCGGGGGGCCAAAGTGGGTAATGTCCAGAACTGCTATCTGTGGATTTCTAAATAAYATTCAGGACAAATAGAAATTTAATAATTGTTAGTATTCTTGACGAAATGATCATGCTTGCAATCCTTATGTTCGTGCCTGAACACATACACACACACAAATGAGCGCGTGTATAAGGCTCGAATGCTTGATGATATGCGTGCAGACTTATATATACATACTTACATATATACATATGTATATATATGCGTATATGTAGAGAGCAGAGAGAGAGCAAGAAAAAATTGAGCATAGAGTGTTCAACATTTGACCGTCTCGGTCGAGCGAATGAAGCGAAATGATTGTGCTTTCGTATATTTTCGTAACCCGAACCTAAATATGAAGAGCTGAACACATATGAAGTGGTCTGGGAGATAACTCTCGAAAAAAAGGGTGCAAAACGCTTTAGAAATTCAGTTATAAATTTATATTCCGACATCTCTAAAGTTAGAATCTCAAAATTTTAAATATTGATCCTGAGCATTTTATTGAATTTGTATTTTGTTGTATTTCGGATACCGACCACCAAATTTTTATACCCGGAACCCATTTTCAATGGGAAATCAGGGTATAATGTTTTTGTTGAAATGTATGTAACAGGGAGAAGGAGGCGTGGCAGACCCCACAAAGTATATATTCTTGATCAGGGCGACGAGCTGAGTCGATTTGGCCCCGTCCGTCTGTCTGTCTATCCGTCCGTCTGTCAGTATGTTTGAACGCATCAATTTCAGAAGATACAATAGCTAGAGACTTAAAAAAAAAAATTGTTTTAAATGTCCGTATATACAGCGCGGATATCGAGTTTATCACCAAAAATCGATAACTTCTGCCGATATTTTTATCGATAAAAATCTTATCGAATCAGTATAAAATTATATCTTCTACGTCTTTAAAGCTGGAGTCTCCAACTTTTACTGTGTACTTATATGCATTTTGTACAATTTCGGTTTTTATTAAAATCTGCCCCCACTCCCATTTCCATCCCCTCACCCACATATTTGAAAAAAGCGTATTTCAAATACTAGAGACTTGCGCCTTTGCAAATGCATGCATTTCCATGTTATAATCATAATCTAAAAGTTTCAGACTATGAGCAGGAAGTACTATTTACAACTGCAAAAATGCCTTACAAAATCGAACAACTTAACTTTTGGACTTCCCATTTGTACGTTTCGCTTTGTTCTGCTTGGCCAGTTTATTTGGCGAAGTATAAGCAGACGAACAATATATTGAATTAAGTATTTTTAAACATCTTATGGAGTGTAGGTAGAAACAATTATTATGCTTTAATGTCTGCCGATTTTCAAATTTTTCGTTTTTTGAATTTTCTCTCTACATAAAGGCTAAAAAGTGTCGAAGGATTATTTATGAAGTTTTAACGTCGCTTACGTTTTAGAGTTGATTCAAGATTCTGAAAAATATAATGTTTATGGATAAATTATCTGTTTTCAGAATGGGAAGAAGCCTTTAAAAACTTAATGCTGCGCAACAACCGACAAGTAGAAGAACAAGTCCTACAGCAACAACAACTTCAAATGCAACAGCAACATCATCACCAACAAGTACTAAAACAGCAAGAAGAATTTCTACGTATTCACGAGTTACAAAAGCGAAGTAATTTATTAAATAATGGAATTCCACAAACTACACAAACTGGTAGGTCTGTCAATCTATAAACGCGTCTATCTCAGAAGATATATTATATCAGAGGCTTGAAAATCGATAGCCACTTTATAGGCTAAAACCCATCTTTAAAGTTAAACTATCTAAATTTTAATTGAAGATTCATATTTATTTTATAAAATTCCGGTTTTTGTTATAACTTACAAACTTCTCACAAATAAGTTTATAAAAGGCATATTTCGATTACTAGAGACTTGTGCCAAAGCCCTTAATCAAATATTATCAAGATCTGCAAGTTAATCCTTAAGAGAAGATTAAACAATTAATAAGTCACTGTGGCCTTAGTCCATAAGTGTATATGCGCATATATTTGCTATTTTTTATGTAAGCAGAAAGACGCGAAGAATTATTGAAATATCTGTTTCTCGAAAGGTTTAGGGCATCTCAGTTGATTAGTCTCGACTAATCGTAAATGTATAAAAAATTAATTTAAAGTACGGTAGACTCATGCTCTAACAAATGGACACCCTTCAACGTTATTACATCGTTCTTGTTATGAAGATGATGATAGTCTTCCCACAAGAGAATTTATTCCAAAAATAAGTTCTAGTAATATATGTAGCCCAAACTGCAGCCCAAAGACAGTCGCTGCTAAGTGCAGAATTAGCAGATCAAGTGTATATGTGTGCGTGTAGATGTATGTATAAAATAATGCATACAATAAGGGTAGAATTATTGTAATATCAGCTCTTTTAACTCAGGGCAGTATTATGTTGAGAGTTTATCGCTCACTTTTATTTTATACCCAAAATATTTTTTATGTTACTGGATATGAATTGAATCACGTACATACATAAGTAAAGAATTATAAATTGAATGGAAATATGACTCACATTTCATAACATCACAAAATATAATTGTATTCTATTTCTCAGATTTCCCAAGACAATACTATGCTAATGATGTTGAAGCAAATAGAACGCAAACACTTGCATCCATACATCCACAGCATATCACTCAGCAGCCCGATGAAAATTCCTTGAATGTAAATAACATTTTTGGTGGAAATATGTCAAAGTTTTTCGACTTTCACAAAAGTCAGCAACAGATTCACCAACAATACATTAATGGACAATCTCAGATAAGTAATATGGATTCTCATCGATTAGCTATATTTTTGGAAAACAACCGACCAAACCCTTCAGTTTTTGACAATGGTAAATATTATTTTGTATATACGTATGAAAATATAATAATTACGTTTTTAATTATAGGTATTTTAAGTCAACAAGCGCAATTACAGAAACAGAGGTTCATGGCAAATTTTGAAAAAACAGTGAGTACTAAATATCATGCGTATGAAATCAGAAAATATTTAATTACATAAATTGAAGAACAACACTTGCCAGAAAAAATCTTCGTACACCAGGAAACACATTTTATATTTTGTGTTCAGTTGGCTTTAGCATTTGCTGCAATGCACTTATTACACTGAATTTTATCTTTAAAATATAATTTATCCAATTGTATATCAATGTATTTGGTTTGTTTCCTAAAAAAGAGATCGTACAATTTAATTGTGCTGCGTGCGATGACAAAATCCGCAAAAACGGTTCAATTTTTTTTTTCCACAATTTTTCTCCTTTCAATTACCGTTAAATAAATTGCATAATCGCATAAGATTTCCAATACTGCACAGATTTCCTTTTCCATAGCATCCATGGCACACCAATTGTTTCATAATAATTGAAACTTCATTTCATAGAATAAAGAGGAGAGAAAAAAAAAAAATAGTCAACACTGAACTATATTAAAATCAGTTCAAAGTTTAAATTTCAATATTATCATGTAGATATACATATATAGTAAAATATTTGTACCAAAAATATTCATACAACGACAAGATTCCCTCGGGCGCTCTTTTGTACAATTAGTGAACGCTTTTTTACTCCACACGAGATACAATTAACTTTCTTGGGGCAAGGGCGATTTGACGTTCTTTCCCGATAACCGTCGCACAGTGCACATTGGGCCAGCGAGCCGATTTTTCGACGAAAATTAAAATTAAAAAAAAATATATCTAAGTTTCTGATCTATATGACCACACCTTTCCTAACCGCCCATATGATATTGGTTTCTACTTATTGATACTTTACGATAATTAATATGGCTAGCCTTTATCATATATTATAATAAACAAGTAAGAAGGCTCCAGTCGAGACAGTCGAGAAAAGAAGATACCATGAACCCTCCAAGCTGGTACTTTACTTATTCTGCACTTATTTTTCACGCGCTCTGTGGATTACGCAGTTAGCAGCGACAGCGCTTGGGCTGCGCTGCAGTGTGGGCAGTTTCTTTTGTAGATAGACTATCTTTATGAAAATTCAGAGGATGACCATATGGTTAATATAAGATTTCCAATACAATTTCTAAAGCACAAGTCTTTAGTACTTGAAATACGTTTTTTACAAATTGGGTCGAAGGGGTCGTTGTATCCAAAATCTGTAAATTACAAAATCTTCTTATCCATTAACTTAATATACAACGCATATTTGTCTCTACAAGTCTCCAGGACTAAATTTGGCTGAAAAAAACAAAGTCAATTTTTAGAGTATTCTCGATAAAAAAAAGTTATCGGATAAGTTATCGAAAAAATAAGATAAACTTGTACTGCCTATGGTATACACGAGTAAGCATGCCAAATTTCATCTAAAGATCGGCTTGCTCATACGGACAGATGGACAGACGGACAAGGATATATCGACTCAGCTCGTCGCCCTGATCAAGARTATATATACTTTATGGGGTCTTCGATGATTCCTTCTGCTTGTTACATACATTTAACAAAACCATTACACCCTGATTTCCCATTCTCTATGGGTTCAGGGTATAACTACAAAGCATTCAAAATGACGATAAGTATTTTACATTTAAAAATGTTTCTAAAGTCATTGTGAAAGAAATAATATGACTGATCAAGTCAAGTCGTAAATTACGAATGCTTTATTGAATTCGAAAAGGTTTCGTCTTATCCTAAATATATAACGTTTACATAAAGAGTTCTGTCGGTAAAAGCAGCGGTAGAACGGGAGTATATAGCATGCCGTATGTATGTGTATATATGTTTGTATGTACATACAGAAAGCATATACATACAATTAAGTGTTTAAGCTACGGCGTAGACAAGAAGGTAACAATGCTTACGTTGCAGATCCCACGCTACAGGCGGATCATATTACGGCACTTAAGTATAGCTGTTATAATATAAACGAATCAACAAAGTGTTGCTATGTTGTGAGTATGATACTCTTACTTATGTTGGGCATATGTCTACTTCATATATTGTATACACTACAATAATGTGACCATATGCTTATACGAATGTAATGTAAATATTTTTAATTTTTTTTTTTTATTTGTTTATATTTTTAAATATTTAAAATAAAAATAATTTTTTTTTTTTATAT